AAATAACTCGATCGACAGCAGCGAGTTGCTTACTTCGAAACGGGTATTGTATATTCGGCTTGACCGTTCTCGAGCGTGACGAGGAGGAACCCGTAGACAAAACAGGAGGTTCGGTGTAGCGGCAAACTATAAAGTGATCGCTCGAGCACGAGTGTTATACTTTGGAGAATGATAGAAGATAACATGCTTTCTCATTTTAGCACTAGTAAAATCGAACGAATGGAAAGTACATGACAACTAACAGTAGTATTTCGGAGAATACACACGCCAGAGAAAAAGAAAATATTACACACATTCTGTCCTCTTTACGCTTGGATTCAAAAGTAAAATATATAAGCTCGGGCGGCTTCATACTTTTAGTACGGTACTGAATCATGCTGAAAGGCATTTTTAGATTATCGGCACACCAGCAGCAGGAGAGTGACACCAGCGCTGTGGTGTGCTGTGGTGGAGAGCGTGAAACTCAAGCCAGGCTTCTCGATTTCATAACGACAACACCAATGTAATTTTATGAGGCGAGGAAGCGACCTTTCCGGCTGATTCTTTTTTTAAACTGTTCCTTATGAAATACCGTTGCGGGGACAGTTACACATTTTGCAATTTCGCTTTTGAAACTTGCTAAAAATACGTTCAAAGACAAGAAATTTTTTTTTTCAATTTTTTCCAAAAACGCTTGACGAGACGATAGATTTACTTCCCCTGATTACGAAATGCATAATTATGATATGTTTTTTTCATTATTGTGCCTGAGAAACAGGAAAAACTATCTAGTAGTTCGCCTACTTTCCGTTGGTGACGCCAGTTTGTCTCCTGCGCACCCTTAAGGCTAAAATACAAGTTTATTTCTTCGAAGAAATAACTAAAATCGTGGTTCTTAGATATATGGTTCCACTACCCCGTATTTGCGCTTACCCCTCCTGGTCTGAAAAGTAACTTATATATATTGATTATTATTTATATTTATATCTATATTTTCATATGTCTATGGTGGAACCACGTTTTTAATTGGTGACACAAATCCATATGGCGCTAGTAGGTATCACAAAACATATCTAGTATATCGGTGAGTAGCATCTCACTGCTTTGAAAATTTCAGCGCCGGTGTTAGTACCGTCGGTTTCCGCCGGTTCTCGCCGTCATTTAAAGTCCGCGAAAGAGAAACATTTTAAATTGCCAAAGTAATAATCAGTAACAACCACGTGGCAGTGATCGTGGTGTATCGGCGTGATTTGTGTTACTTTGAAGTGCTTTAAAGTGATTTTGTGTTTTTTACGTAGCGTTATGGCGCCTAGGACATGCAAAGTAAGAGGATGTATCGCACAGGGAAAGCGGCTTCGGCAATTTCCCGATTTGATAAAAGATAGGGAACGTTGCCTTAAGTGGATAGCAGCGTGCGATAATCCCGATCTTCTGAATATGAATTCGTTAAAAAATATGTAAATCTGCGATGTCCACTTTGAGGACTTTTATAAATTAAATATCCGTCTAAGCACTTCAGCAGTGCCAACTCTTCATTTGCCAAGTATGTATACGTAAAATAACCATATTCATATCAGTTTACTTTATTATTTATAATTTCTATATTTTATAGAACCTGTAACTTTTCAAGTTTCGATTACTGCAGTAATTGCTGAACTAATCGAAGCAACAGATGCAATGTATTTTTATCTATTTCTTTTGTTACAGACGGTGGACAAAATCCATCATGAATCTCTTACAAACCCATCCAAACTGGATTCCTGCAATGAATTGTTTATTAAAATTATTCCTAATAAGAGTGATGGCACTTTGACTATCGTTGACTCGTAAGTATCATTTTTCATGGTCTGTACTTTTGTTCATTAGAAAGTTACAATGGGTGTAGAACGTATTCGTACACCGATCAATTTCCCAGAAGACTTTTTTATGAAATTATAGTTTGTTAACTTCTTTTCTTATAATCAATGATATTTTACATATTCTTGGAAAACTCTAAGATAGATATAGTCCAAACAACATTTACTAATTAATATAATTTGTAAAATTAACAAAAAAGGTGCGAAAATAGGGTAAAAGTATAGAAGCAATAAGTATTTGTACCATTCTTATGACGAACCATTTACAGCAGAGTTTGTAATGTAAACACATTAGTTTATTGCTCCATGCGAATTAAAAAACATCAAATTTCCAGGAAAGTACTTTTAAACAGTTGCCTGAATACTTATTGCTTCAATATTTCTATCGATTAATTGTTTTTTTCTTTTTAATTTCATAACTTACATAAATAGCTATTTTTTTTTTTCAAGGACGAGCGGCGAAAGCGGAAGGTGGAACCTCTCTCGCAGGTGTGAATGGAATGAAAAGTTAGATGTAAGGTATAGAAGTAAAGCCTAGTTGTATAAGTAGTGTTAAGAGGAAAAAATGTAAGCAGAGTGGTGGTCCGCATGTACTCCGCAAAGAGAATAAACTATAACTAACTAACTAATCTATCTATTCTAGAGATTTCCTAGAACATGTAGAATGTCATTGTTTATAAAAAATAAGTTAATAAATTACAATTTTACACAGTTTTTTTGGAAATTGATCGGTGTACGAATAATGTAATTAAATATCAATACATTCTATACAACATCTATTCACTTGAATTCAGTAAAGTACAATTAATTAATTTAATGTAATTTGTTGCAGTGATATTGGTATGACTAAACCTGGTCTAATAAACAACTTGAGTACAATTGCTAAGTTTGGAACAAAAGCATTTATGGAAGCTTTACAAACTGGTGCAGACATCTCTATGAGGAATGACAGAGGTCATTTGCCAGCCTGACGGACAGTTGGCCAAACTGTCCCCTTCTATATAAAATGTCTACAGCCATGGATCCATCACCTTGGGATCCACGCTGGAGCAAACATGACCGCGGAGGAGCGTTCATTGTTTATAAATGGGTGATCATTGCCGCCTTTCTGTACCCCAACAGCCCATTTCTATCCGAAACAATAAATATGTAAGAGTAGCTTTTTCCACAATAGTCTGCCACTCGATTCTGTCTCCAGATTCTTTTTATGACTTGATCATTTTAATATGGCAGCATTAGCATTATGATTTTCTTTTGTATTCCAACATTATTTCAATTTCATTGCATACTTTTATCAGTCCATTGAAACACTTTTGTCTCCTCGTATTAAAATTGTGAACAATTTCGTGCGTAATAAAAAGTCCTAACATGATTAAAAATCTGTGATATTTCTTCCTTTTACACTTAACATAAATACATCTAGTAAATATTAATAAATACATGAAATAGTATATACATCTCTACTCATATCTTTTACATTTTAATTATATCCATTTAAATATAACTTTCCTTTTTTCATGACAATATAATACACGTGAACCTATTTAAACCAAATTAACTAAAAAAGATAAATATAGAAAAAGTAGTTGAAATATTTAATTTTATAACTCAAATTCCAATCTGTATTCAATGAATGACGTATAAAAAATTCTTTTATTCATTATCCGAAACTGTTATCTATAATATCATTCATTCGTGAGCCTGTACTGGCCTTTCTTCCTGCAGTTCATCCTATTTATATAATTCGATTTACGTGGAAAGCTTTGAAATAAATTGATCTCGCATATCGACATCATTTTGTTTACAGTTAAAAGTACACCTTGTATACAGGCATATTGTGAAACGCGTTAGTGACACTCCTCACTGGCATTCACCACACGTGGTGAACGGATTCACTGATCTTGTCAGTAGCGTATTATCATATACAGGGTGTCCACATCTAAAATGAGGCCCTAAAGTGTTACATAATATACACCATGTAATCCTTTTTTTTACAGTTTCTTAGAAATTCAGTGGTAGTATAGCGATATCGCGAGCGCCTGATAAGCAACTAACGGGTATAAAACGAGAAAAGTTAAGTAATTCACAATGATTCATTTTCTTCTTCACATAAGATTCACAAATTTTACTTTACTTTGGGCCTTATAAAAAATACAACGCAACGCACCGCTGCATCTTATATAAGCGCATATAAAGAGAGGGACTTTCACAACAGTATAAGCTGAATAAAGAAAATATAGGATGTCCAAAAAATGTTGTAACACCTTGAAAGGGGTGGTTCGGGAGGTGATTTGAAACAACTTTTTTCTTAGCGAAAATGTTGTCCGAAGCTTCGTTAAGGAGATATTAACAGAAAACCCCGACCAATCAAAGCGCGCGTATACTGTTGGAGCGGCCGCGGTAGCGAAGGCTACGCGCTACGCGGCCGCGCTCATACGCGAACAAATGACTCGACGTGCATCGAAGGACATTGACGCGACGACCGCTTAGCGCGTAGCCCTTGCTACCGCGGCCGCTCCAACAGTATACGCGCGCTCTGATTGGTCGGGGTTTTCCGTTAATATCTCCTTAACGAAGCCTCGGACAATATTTTCGCTAAGAAAAAAGTTGTTTCAAATCACCTTCCGAACCACCCCTTTCAAGGTGTTACAACATTTTTTGGACATCCTGTATAAATTTATATAATCCTGAATGGAGAAATTTCTCGTGAATGTTTGTATAATTAAAACGCAAGAAACAAACGTTCGATAACGTGTATTACACGCGTTTGTAGACTGAATAATGAAATATTTGCTGATCATGAGCATTTCACGGTTTTTCTACCGATCAAACTTATCGGTGCAGGTTGACCGATAGAGCGCGACACTGTTGATTGTCGAAGTGTTGCGTGTTGCCACATCACCACCAAATCAAACGTACCTGGACGATGTTTCTGTGTAGATTGCGCTCGCGCCGACTCTTCCACAATACGTGGAAAGCGTGAGTTTCTCTACTCCGCGAGCAGACAGTTTCCAGTAGAGAAACAATTAGAAAACAGTATTTTCTTGGCACGATATAAGCTGAAGACTTTGACTATATTAGTCAAAGGCTGAGGAATTATAGATTTTTTCTCGGTGCTTAACGTAGCAAACGACCGACACCATGAGCGCACCCCAGGGGCAAGGAAAACCAATAAACGGAGTAGTGAAACAGGTAAGGTTCTCAAATTCTATGAGGATCTGTTTCTCAGATTACTCTCGTTCGAATATAAACACGATTTGTGTGACTACTATTGTATAACCTAGTAGTTTGACATCCGTGCAAGATCGTATTCAACACTGTTTGAAGCAGAATATCTAAACCGAAAACATATGGTCCTTGCATCAAAAAATTTTCGTTTTTTACGTGATTTTTTTTAATAATAAGATATTAGTTACTATTTTGATACTTACGACGGTCGTAAGAGTGCATTTAATACAGTATTAGCTTTAATTGAATAAGCACATTCTTTGCATTGTGTGGATGTATTTTGAAGAGTCTTAAATAAAGTTCACCTTTATCCTTTCAGTCGTCTATGAAAAGTATCATACTGATAGTATGCCATCATACGTGATGTTATTTTATTAGATAAAAATACATTTTTGTCTTTGTATTTTAAGGTTATTTCAGGGGATACCATTGTCATTCGTGGTCAACCGATGGGTGGTCCTCCACCTGAAAAAACAATTACTCTTTGTAATGTTACTGCTCCAAAATTAGAGCGATGGAAAGGAAACGACAGGTATATATAATTATTCTGTAAAATTCTCATATATTTATAAACATAGGTTGAATTCATATTTTTTAATATTTCTTTTATTTTTACAGCACGGATGAGAGTAAAGATGAACCATATGCTTGGAAGGCCAGGGAATTTTTACGAAAAAAAGTTATTGGTCAAGAGGTACATTTTGTTACAGAAAAATCGATTAATACCAATAGAACTTATGGTACTGTGTGGTTAGGAAAAGGTATAACTGATTTGTATAGAAATTTTATTTGTATATTAAAATTCATCCCAAAACAATCTATTTACTAAATTCTTTCATAATTATAGATAAAAATGGAGAAAATGTGATTGAGACTTTAGTTTCTGAAGGTTTGGTAACTGTAAAAAAAGACACTCGAAATCCAAGTCCTGAACAAACTAGTTTGATCGAACTGGAAAACGCAGCTAAAGCGGCTAAGAAAGGAAAATGGTCAGAATCACCATCTTCCGAACATATACGCGATGTAAAATGGACTGTAGACGATCCGCGAAAATTGGTTGAGAAATTTGGAAAAAAGCCAGTGAAGGCTATCATTGAATTTGTTTTTGATGGATCTACAGTGAAAGCACTTTTATTACCTGACTTTTATAATGTAGTATTAATGATATCAGGAGTCAGATGCCCTGGTTGGCCAAATGGAAGACGCGAGAATTCAGTAGGCGATCCTTATGCAGACGAAGCAAGATATTTCGTAGAATCTCGCTTACTGCACAGGGATGTTGAAGTCGTACTTGAATCAGTTAATAATAACAATTTTATCGGCAGCATTCTTCATCCAAAGGGTTAGTGAAGTTTAATAAAGCCTTCCTATACTCGTGCAAATTGTTGCAACCCAGATGATTGTGTGGGTAACCTTAGAACTGTTTTTGAAAATTTGAAGAAATACAACGGATTTTATAGATTTCATAGATACTTAATTTATCAAGTTGACATTATTTACTATTTAACTCATAAATTATATGTTTTTATAGTTTTTACTCAACCGTTCTCTATATAGTACCCGCAATCTATATAGGGTGTTTCTAAATATATAAGGCCTTTTTTGAAAATCAAGTCTTTACAATAATATAAATCAAAAAGTCCTTTACTATTTTGCCATCTGAGGCTTTGTTATCCAGATATAAGCAATTGAAATTTACAGGTGTGGGTTCCGGCGCGCGCTGTTTGAGCCTCGATCAGCTGTTTGCACGGCCGCACGTGTACTCACACACACAGGAAAAATACACATTGATATACACATACTGCTTGAAAATGATCTTTGAGTCTACATTAATGTATAGGTCAGGTAGTACGAGGTCATTGGTCCAACCTGTGCTAACTAGATGTCAATGATCTCGTACTAGGTAACCTATACTTTATTGTGAACTTTAAGACTATCTTCAAGCGGCGAATGTACATCAGTGTGTATTTCTCCTGTGTGTGTAAGTCATGTGCGGCCGTGCGAACAGCTGATCGGAACTCAAACAGCGTGTACCGGAAGTCACACCTATAAATTTTATCTGGTTATATCTGGATAACAAAGCCTCGAATCACAAAATAGTAAAGGACTTATCGATTTGTACTGGGATAAAAACTTGATTAGTTACCTACGTTTTGAACATAATTTATTGAAAATTATTATTGGGCTATACTGATGAATAATTCATTTTCTTGGGTTTTTTTAAGCATGTAAGACATTTAATTTCTACAACTAAAATATGAATTGATTTAAGATTAGAAAATTAGAACTGAATATCATACGTCCGAAAAAAGTAAAATAAAAAACTAATTCTGGGGCGTGCGAATCGCATCATATGTCTATCGGAGTATCGAATTAAATTAAAGAAACAAAATACTTATAGTACTCATTTGAATAAATAACAATCATTTGATTTGTATTCGACAGGAAATATTGCAGAAATTTTATTAAGCGAAGGTTTTGCTAAATGCCAAGATTGGTCAATTAGTAACAGCAGATCTGGGGCAGAAAAGCTCTACCTCGCAGAGAAAGCTGCGAAAGAAGCACGTTTACGTTTGTGGAAAGATTATAAACCGTCAGGTCCGCAAATAGAATTCACTGGTACTGTTGTTGAAATTGTTAATGCGGATGCTCTTATAATCCGAACGCAAAATGGAGAAAACAAGAAAGTCTTTTTGAGCAGTATTCGACCACCATCCAGAGAAAAAAGGGTTAACGAAGAACCCAACAATACTGCTAGAAAAGATTTTAAACCTCTTTACGACATCCCCTGGATGTTAGAGGCTCGCGAATTTTTACGTGAAAAATTCATCAGAAAAAATGTGAAAGTTGTGGTTGATTATACTCAACCTGCCAGAGATAATTTCCCGGAAAAATTATGTTGTACTGTCACTTGTGGTAAAACGTACGTTGCTTAACTTTTTCCTAATTATCTTTACCAATAATTATAAAATTAATTATAATTCAGAAAAAATCAGAATACAATCAGAAAAATACTCTTGTCAAAGATATTGAAAACACAATACGGTAGTATATAATATTCCGTCTACGAGAAAATTAATTTAATCAATTAATTTTGTCTAGTTTAGATCTATTAGATTGATTAGACATATAAATTCGGTTTCTATTTCGTGGCTCTCCGAGTTTTACAATGTTTATTATTTTAGAATTTAAAAAAAAAACAAGAAAAATAATTATGAAAATTATTTGATTTGCTCTCTAAAATCGATGAATTTAATTTGTTTACATCAATTTCCAGCAACTGTTATTAATTTTGTAACATTTATGATCTCTTCAGAAACATCGCAGAAGCACTGGTTGCGCGAGGTTTAGTAAGAGTGATCAAATATCGACAAAATGACGATCAACGGTCATCTCACTACGATTTATTACAAGTTGCTGAAAGTAAAGCAGAAAAATCTCAGCACGGTTTACATGCAAAGAAAGATATTCCAGTGCATAGATTGGTAGATCTTTCTAACGATCCTTCCAAAGCAAAGGCATTTTTGACATCCCTTAAACGAGCACAGGGGATTAAAGCTGTGGTTGAATTCGTCACAAGTGGTTCACGTTTAAAACTGTATTTGCCGAAAGAAGATCAGCTTATTACGTTTGTCTTGGCTGGTATACGCACTCCTCGATGTCAGAGATCACTTCCGGGCGGTGGCGTAGTTAAAGCAGATGAGTACGGCGAAAAAGCATTAGCGTTCACTAGGGAACATTGCTTCCAGAGAGATGTGGAAATCAAAATTGAAAATACAGAAACGAAAGGAAGCGGATTTATTGGATGGTTGACAGTTAATGATATCAATATGTCTGTTTCTCTTGTTGAAGAAGGACTTGCAGAAGTGGTTACTTTCCCCGACTTTGGAGAACTAACAAGGACGCTTAAAGCAGCAGAAGAACGTGCCAAATCAAAGAAGTTGAATGTAAGAATTAATATATATATAATTGATTGTTAGTGATAAATTAAAACTAAAGAAGTAATGGTTATAGAAGCATTTTATATCAGAAAAATACTCTTGTCA